TCCAGCTGAAAAATGTTACACATCCAGAGCTCTGCCTGAGATATGAGTAAAAGGCTGAGCATTTAGAACAAAAAATCAAAAAGGCAGAAGAAATACAGTGGGATATTGGATCTCTGTCTGTCTCATATGTTCTCCTTTGCCTGAACTTTTACATTGTGGACCTTCTTGAATGCTGTGCAGTACATTGAAAAACCCATATGTGATCTGTCTCTCAGCTGTCTTGAACTATATACTGGCAAATATCCCTTTCATAAGGCATTTCACAATAACATGCAAATTACATAGCTGGAGAGAGCCACCGTTTGCAATTAATTTATGGTGTTTTCAAGAGACATTAAAGACAATTACTCTTGGAAACCACGGCCCATATTCCTTTCAGAAATGTTTCAGAAGATTGTCTGAAGTCTCTCTTAATACAAGAGATTGAATCTGTCAAAGCGCTTGAAACTGACAGATTGCTAATGCTATTTCATCAAACAAAAACGACACTAAAATAGTGCGGTGTCTTGCACATATCCACAAAAATTAGGAAATGCATTGTTGAGGCCAGATTTTTGAAGGTATTTAGGCTCCCAAAGATGCAGATAGGCACCCAGTGGGATTTTCAAAAGCACGTAGAAGCCTAACTCCTATGGGAGTTAAGGACTTAGGTACTTTTGAAAATCTCACAAGCTGCCTATCTGTATCTTTAGGTGACTGCATATCTTCAGAAATCTGGCCCTCAGTGTCCAATATCTGAGGACACTGGCACACATAGTAACATTAGCTAGGCAGCCTGTTGTGCCTCAGTAATGGGCATCTAATGCTTCTATGTGCATTTTCCTGCTTTTCTGCTGCACCGAGAGGTGAACCTCAACCCCTGTGCAGAGCAGTTTTTCTCAAAAGTTGTAACTTGGTCCCAAGCTGAACATTTCTATGTACATTTTCAGCATGCAGTAAATTTTGTTTTTAAGTGGGCTCAGGTTATGTGAAAATGGATAGCCCTACAGCTGCCACATCAGCATGAGCAGCAGTAATGTTCACACTGCTGTATTGCATTGCTGCCCGCTCCAGGACACCACCCTAGCGGTAACAGGATACTTCAATCTCCTTCTAGATAGAGAGCACTATTAGTATTCCTGTGTATGTATATCTTATGGCACCATTCACCTTTGATATCTAGAGGTATCGTATATCTACACTAGAAACTCTACAGTGGTGCAGCTGTGCTACATTACAGTACAGCTGTGACATTGTAATGTACTGTAGTGTAGACATTTTCTCCAACAATGGAAGGGCTTCTTCCATTGCTCTAGTAAATCCACTTCTCCAAGAGGTACTATTAGGTCTGCACTGGGGCCTAGGTCAGCTTTACTATATAGCAACGTAGCTAGGTCAACCTAAGTTTTAGGTATAGACCAGTCTTAGGTTTAGTGGTGCCAAGTGCGGTAGTAGATTTTGTGTTGTGCCCTCCACACTCCTGAAAATAGACAGAGTTCTACCATCTATTTCTGTCACTCTATCATAGGCACATATATGGCCCCCATTATTACAGTGTCTGAGTACCTCATACTCTGAAATGTATTTATCCTTACAATACTCTGGTGAGGTAGGAAAGTGCTATTATCCACATTTTACAGCTGGGGAACAGGAGCACAAAGAGTCTAAGGTCATACAAGAGGTCGGTAGCAGAGTGGGGAATTGAACCAAGGTCTTCTGAGTTCCAGGCTGGCACCCTAACCAGTGGACAGTCCTTCCTTTCATTCCACATAAGCCATATGGAGAATAATTTTTGCATGAAACTTCATAATTTTCCTGTGTTAATATCATACTTTGGTTATAATAAAACATTTCTATAGCCCACTAGTACATAGTATTGGCAATTTCAGTTAAAACAGCAATAATTATGTAATTGATTTTTGGCTACATTATTAGGTTTAGCTACTTTCATTTTGTATTTTAGGCATTATTCAGCAGATTCACAGACTTCTACGTACATAGACTCTAGGCTTCTGCACAATTTCTCCCTTGTACACTGGTAAACAAATTAGGATGAATTAAAATCTTTCCCTACTACCATGTTCCGGGGGCATAGCATAGTGTAAAAGCCTATGGGAACTTTGACATCGAAACTCTTTCCATGGCTTTTGGCTTTAAGAAGCTGCTTTTGATTTCAAGGGGGAATCTTGCCCTCAGTAGCAGAGATGTAATTTTGTTCAGGAATTCTACACCTGCCTTTCAGTTCAGTTATAACATACAGTAATCAGGCTCATGGAAATGATGTAGGGGAGACTTTCTGAGCATGCCTTCCAGTGATGAAGTAGGGTTCTTTGCTGAATAACCGAAGAGAAGCCAGGGAAAAATGTTAATTGCACTGCAGCTATATTTCTTTCTGGATGCTTTTACTGCATCACCTCACCCCTTTCACTCAGTCAGTGATACCAGCCTTGAATGCCTGTTTGTGCACTTTCTCAATTGCCTTTGCATTTCCTCTCAAGCTGCCCTGTATAAATGGACTAATCTGAACTAATCTGTAAAACCACTACCTTCTCTTTCAAATCTGTCCGCGGGACTCGCATCTGTTACGACACCTGCAAGAAGCCAGCTGACCACTGATGGTTAGTATGAGTGGCAGTGTGGATAGCTGATATTAAGAATAATTTTAAAAGGGTTTTAATGGTTCAGCAACATTAATGTGTGCACATAGTTTGTGTAACAGTGTGATATTAGTGTTGTTATGTATATTAATATAATGCCCTTGTTCTGCCTTCCTCTTTCTCTCCTATTGTTTGCTATGCTTACTGGTTAGGTTTTGGTGTTTTAATTAGATTATTAACTGCTTATCCTGGCCACAGCTTACAAACAAGGAGAAGTTGAGTCTTTAGGAAAGTTACACCTATGTTGGAACAGTACTTAACTGTTTTTTGGTTAATTTCTTAGATTTAACAAAAGCCTTGGAAAATGCAAGTCACTAGTTCACACTTTAAATAGTAATATTGCTCTTAGTTTTCAAACTCAGGTGCCTAAATTTGGCACCTAAATGTCCTTTTTGGTGCCTAAATAAAAACCCATTTTAGACACCTACTATGAGCGTTGACTTAAATGTGTACTTAAATGATGCATCAACTCATCATATAGATTTGGTAACATGTTGGAGAGTTCTTAAGTTGCTCTAGGCTGAGGCAAAGTGACTTAGTGGGTAGACCACTCAACTGGGACTCTGGAGTTCTTAGTTCTATTTCTGGCTCTGCTGCTGGGTGACTTTAGGGGAGTCACTTCACAGCTATGTGCCTCAGTTTTTCCTATCTGTAAAATGGGGGTGGTGATACTGGTTTTCTTTGCAAAGTGCTTTAATCTACTGATGAAAGTGTTATATAAGAGCTATTTATTATTATTCGAGGAAGCCTGAAGGAAAGTGCTGGTGGATTCCTGTTGACTCACTGTAGCAAGTGGGGCTCACTATCCCTACCCTAGCTTACAGGCAGGTGGGAGTGGTTCTAGAGAAGCTCTAGGCAGAACAGACACAGATGATTTGAAGTATGGGCTGAAGGCTTGGGTTGGAAGTTACTTTGTTATTATTAATTTCTACATAAATAAAGCCACAACCCAGAGGAGGGTGGGACTTTACTCTATTCAACATCTGTAGACTGTGTTTTGGTGTAGGGTAGGAAAGCTACCTGCTCCCAGTGCCTAAAATGGGTATTTAAATGCCTAAATACAAATTTAAGTGGCTACTTCAGGCGTCCAAATTTGAAAATTGGCCTTATTATTATGGGTGAAATCAAGGCAAAGAGGAGAATTGACATACCCAAGAGTACATAGGTAGTCAGGATAAGAGTAGGGATTAGAAAGCAGGACTTTCTTATGCTTAATGGAAGGATCACACCACTGGACCAGATCTCACTATGTATATAAATCAATACCAGTAATTGATAAATTACAAAATGTATCCAGATCAATTTTTGACTGGCTGCCTGGTTCTGTCTACTTTTCACTAACATTTACAACAAGTGCTTTAAATACATTTTAAATTAGACAGCAAATGTTATATTAATAATCTAAATAATTCAGTAATATATAAAACTGTACAAAGTGAGCAGCCTCCTAGGATGTGTTAGATAAATAAAACATGCCTTAGAAAGGGATGTCAGTGTTAGAAGACAGGCACCTGTGCAAATATGAGAATAATTGTTACATCTCCTTCCCATTTTATAGCCTTCCTTTCTTGGCATTGTATTTTTTATTTGGCTCCAAATTCAAAAGGAAGTGGAAAGGGTATACATTAAAAAAGCTTGTTTTAACTCTGATTAGATGCTCTGTGTGTCAATTCATTTGGCAAAATACTCTCCTGGAAAACAATTTGTACCAGTTCAGAGACTATTTCATTGCTGATTCCTGAAAGATCTATTCTGAATATAGCAAAATAGCCACATGATTCATTCAGCTTGTGCAAAATACATCTTATCGTGGTAGAAGAATTAGATATGGAATAGATAAAGGTTGGTTAAACAAAGTGTCATTAATCACTCTGTTAGAAAATGTAGACTTTGCAGGAGCACACTATAATTTGCATCATTTTTGCAATGCCTTGCCAGCATGGCTGTTAAGAAATAACAAACACGTATGTTTGAAAAGGACAGGTTTAAGATGAAAATAATTCTATCCAAAAACTCTGAGGATGGTATGGAATCCTGTCAACCTCACTCATTCAACTAGAGAACACTGTATTTGTAATAAATTCCTTTTGCTCTGGATGAGTTCTGCATTTTCAATGAGGTTAACTTGGCAACATTCTAGTTGATTTTAATAAAAATAGCTGCTTTGAGGACAGGGAGCTGAGGTTGCCAAATTTACAGCTGCCTTGCACAATTACTCTTACACCTCCTTCAGGGCTACTTAGAACCAGTAAGCAAATTAAGTGTATCGATTGCAATTTTGTTGGACTAACCCTTTTTTTCTTAAGGAATAAACTTGATTCCTTTCAGTATGTGTCTGCTCAGAGTGATCTCTTTTCTTTTCAGCCATAACACAAAGACAACATCATGGCTGGATCCACGACTTGCGAAAAAGGCTAAACCTCCTGAAGAGTGCAAAGAAAATGGTAGGTTATTAAGTTTTCATTGCTGCTCAGAAAGGATTTGTCTTTGTGTGTGTGTGTGTCTCTCTGAATTCTTAAAAAAGGAAGGCATTTTACGGACTGATAAAAGGTGTTTAATTGCTGCTTTGGTTATAAGCCATAAGTGATACAGTATTCTCAATGTGCCATGTGTTTCTGCTTTTTATTCCCACTTTCTGATGATATCTAAAGCTGAGGATCGCAAGTGTGTTTTATGTCTGTTTTGTTTTTTGACTCCTTGACTGACCCCTCTCCCTTGTCTCCCACTGAGAACTTTGGTCTGCAGAACAGAATCTCTTTTAAGATTCTGAGCTTTCAGTCTACAAGAAACGCAGTTCATAAGGGAAACCAACAGCACCATGAGAAATGAATATTATTTTATTTGATTTTAAATCCACAGTGCTGTGCTAGTTAGTATTTAAACAAAACAGTGTCTGATAGAACTGAGTGCGGCGCGGGGGGGGGGGGGAGGGGGGGTGGAGGAGAGAACAGTCACTATTACAGTTCCAGGCCAGATATTTGGTGTTGCAATAAAAATAGTTTAAAAAATAAAAACAAAAATAAGATTGGAGACATTTAAAAGAAATATATTCGTTATGAAAAACAGATACAAGTGTATTTTGGCTAAAAAATATATCAACTGTGAGATATAGCTCTCATCAAACTGTATATCTTTATGTACACTCTATAGCTTTTCAGATTTTCTCTAGTAAAGTTTCTGTCATTAAAGCAATTTAATAAAATTATGTTAATAAATGCATTCTAATGAATCTTTTTCTTAGATGGTATATTTAAATTGTCCTATATTTCAGTGTTGGTTCAGCTCACCAAGTATCATAAGGTGGGAAGGGAATGATATTATTATTTTATTATTATTATTATTATTATTATTTTATTTTGAGCCATAGAAAAAGATACAGGGGATTTTACACCTGCATTATATATGCATTAGTTTAAAACTTATTTTGTGAATATGTGTTTAATGTAACATAAAATACTAGATGTTTTCATACACCTCATTTGATTTATGTGAAACTGCCATTATACCTAATATTGATTAATGTAAACATTATCAGTAGAAGGGTAATTTTATGCCATTTTGCTCTGGTAAAAGACAGATAATCATTGATGAATATTTGGGTGTATAAAATGTAAGGTCAGAGGTATGGTACAAAATGTTCTCTTATTTTATATAAATCTGTGCAGTTTTTAAATACCCATTCATTCCAAGAATCTCTCCCCATTTCAGCAGTAATCCTGATTTTCGCTTCTGACATGAAAAATATCACATCTGAATAATTTCGTGATACATTTTTTCCAGCACTGATATGCTAGTTCCCCATGTCTTAAGTGCTACAATGCATACAGTAGAAGTATTACTGACACAAAACAAGGGGACTTGAGTTTTGCATTAGAAATGTGTCTCACACATGTTACTTGTATGACATATCATTGCCCAGTGCTTAGTGGTGCGTTGTCTTGAGTTTAAAAAACAAAACAAAACTAGACAGTGATACATCAGACATTGTTGAAAACAAATATATATTGCTCCTTTTCCCAGCAGTTGCAATTTACCGAAACCGCAACAACTATTTAAATGTCAAAAATTGAAATAATTTCAGATTATATATAGGATTATTTTGCAGCTATTTGACTAGGGTGTTACTGCATAGCACTCGCGGTCGCCTCTCGCTTTCAAGAGTTGCTCAGCTCATTAATGCAAAGTACTTGAAGTGAAGCATAAAAGATTGTAGGTAGAGATCTTATGCTCTTTTCCTCAAAGTAAAGCTCTCTGATGTAACATACACAATTTTCCTGTAGTTC